ATGTGACAGCCCACACACACTTCTCATTTGTATCAACATTATCAGTATGTACACATTATTTCTAGACCCTCTAAAAGAAACCTGAGAGAACATAAAAAAGTGTGTTCCCTATTTCAACATTCTTTGTCAAGTGAATGAATGTGTGAGAACCAGAGTATCCTTGCATTAGTGAGCTATAAAAATCCTGTGCTTTGGGGGCGCCTGTGTGGCTCAGTCGGTTGAGCATCTGACTTTGGCTCAGGGCATGATCTCACAGCTGACAGCTCAGGGCCTGGAGCCTGTTTTGGATTCTGTGTCTCCCTCTCTCTGTCTGCTCCTCCCCCATTCATGCTCTCTGTCTCAAAAATAAATAAACTATAAAAAAAAAATTTTTTTAAATCCTGTACTCTTGTATTACTCTAACTTTCCTATAAATTTGAAATTATTTCAAAATGTAAGTTGGATTCTTTCATCTTCCTAGACTTTTAAATTCTTGCTGTGATTAAAATCTTAGTGAGGCTTCTTTCACACCCTCCAAGCATATTGTATTGATGCCAACACAACAGTTACTCAATAAGTTTGTGTTGTATTAGGAGCAAATTTCCCAAAGAGGCAAAACAAGATTAGAACTTTTAAAATTTCAGTTCTTGAATCAAACTCACTTCATTCTTTGATGTCTATGCCTTAACAGATGGAAACTAGAGCCATAAGAGACACTATTTTAGAAGGAATTTACTCTTCTCCCATTCAAAGCTAAAAGGCAGAAATCAATTCAGAATTCTACTACTTACGAGGACTGTGAACTCTCTATAAAAGTACTCCCAAACAAAGTTGACAGAATATATTCCACCCTGATCTTAACAATTATGAAAACACTATATCCATACTCAAAATACCAGAAAGACTTTCATCGGTTTTGGTACTGAACTTGGAAAATTAAACAGAATTTACCTATAGTCCAATAGACAATACCAGTAATAACATTGCCATATTTATACAGTGTTAAAATTAGTCTGCAAATCACCTTCCTTTCCATTATATCATTTGAGTCAGGCAGGCCAGGAATTATAATGATTCTATGAGACCGAGCCTTTTACAAGGCCTCCAGATTATCAGGTGGTAGGTCTAGGACTTGAGTAAAATTCGTTTGGCTCCAAGTCCACCTAAAAGCGTGACTGTTGCTTAACTGATAAATCATACTCTCTAGTTATTTTATTCTCTCACAAAGCTCCTTGATCTATCTTCTGTTTCATTATTAAGACAAATACTGTAACTGTTTTGCCATGAGAGTAAGGTAGGCCAGCCACTCAACTTCTGGTTCGTTCGTTTTACATCTTTTTTTTTTTCTTAAAGAGTTCTTAGAATGATCTATTCACTTTAGGTATGCCATCACCAGGTGGCAAGAGATTAGACCAAAGTAAAAGGGATGAGTTTTCCCTCAGTTTTAAAAGTGATTCCAGACTCCAGACACCTGCAATGCCACTCACAATTTATAATCAGAGATTTTCACATTTTAATGAAAAGATTCATTAAAGTAGCTAACCTTAAAGAAAAAGCAAAGCCAAAACTAGCAAATATTGGATAAGAGCTTTAAATGAAGCTCTTTACCTAACCCTCTTTTAATAACCTAAGTGTCTTTCATAATAAACTTTCCTACAACTGTTATACTAATTACATCTAAAACATAGATGCTGATTAGAATATTAATCTGTATAATTCACCCTGATTTAACTAATGTCCAAAATACCAGGGATCAGGGTGCCTGAGTGGCTCAGCTGGTTAAGCGTCCGACTTCGGCTCAGGTCATGATCCCACGGTTCATGGGTTTGAGCCCCGCATTGGGCTATGTGCTGACAACCAGCTCAGAGCCTGGAGCCTGTTTTGGATTCTGTATCTCTTTCTCTCTCTGACCCTCCTCTGCTCACACTCTCTCTCTCTCTCTCACAAATAAATAAAATATTAAAAAATAAAAATTAAAAAAAAATACCAGAGAGCTTTACCCTTGAATTGTTTCAAGCTTTAAAACTTATAATTATTTTAAAAGCAGCCTCCTTTTACTTATTCCTTTATAACTGTCTTGACTTTTCTGAGCCAATTAAAGGCCCATCTCTCTTCCAGCCTGGAATTCCATTCTCTACTGTAGATCCTTTCCCTGTAGAATGTTCCCAAAGTCTACTCCTCCCACTTACTAAGGTACCACTAGCTAGGAGCCAGAAAAATCTTATTCTTCTCCACTTGGTCAAAGTTATTTCCCTTGTAGTCATCATTATTCAGGAGGGGAGCTGACCACCCCCACCATTCTCAAATGGCTTACCTACAGTCACTGCTTTCATTTTTCTTAAACAGTAGCCTCTTTGTAGATTATCTTAGCAACATGTATTAAGTAGGTTCTTCAGAATGTCAAAGGAGAAATTAAAGAAACAACATCCCTCACAATAAAGCAAATAAAAAGCAAAGAGGTTTTATAAGCAAGGGCAAAGAATAACCATCATTTCACAGTTTAACAACAAATTAGATTACAAACTTTAGTTAAGGCCCATATTCAGAAATGACTCCTATGAACTATCCTATAAAAATTTAATTAATCTCTAACTTCAGATAAACAAGCTAAACCTCCATTCAAATGGGAACTGGAAGGAATTGGCATCATCCTCTGAGAAACAGTATATAGGGATGAGAGCTAAGAGGGGAGTTCTGAAGCCAGATCACCTGGGTCCCAATCCTGGTTCCACTGCTTAACTTTGGCTAATTGCCTTGTGCCACACTTTCTTCATCTGTAAAATGTAAATGATAAAGAGTACCTACCCAGCATGGTTACTGAGTAAGTAGGTTAAACCAATTAGAACAGCCTGGTACAAACATAGTAAAGTACTCAATAGACTGTACTGTTGATGATGACTCATCCTTTGTCTACTGCTCTAACTTATAACACCCAAGTGTCTCAAAATCTGAAAAGCACAGTTGGTTTATTAGCCTAAATGAATCTGCAGTAATTTCACTCAAATGATATTTCAGTTGGTTGGAATGGCATATTCCAATGGCTTTTCCCAGCACAGGCAGAGCCAATATGTTACTTTGCAACTGGTCTATTCATGAACTGAAGGGTTGTGCTGCTACAGAGTCATCTGTTATATAAGACACCACAGAGGTTTCTTTTATATAGGAACAAGTACATGTGAGCAGATTTCAACCACTATGTGATTTCACTCTTTGTATCAGGACATGAGAGGTTTTACAGTAAGGGTCTGAGGGCTGAACTGGGTTTCAACACATAGCCTACCACTCTAATCCACATTCTGAGCCCAAGAGATATTTACTCAGTGTGTGCCATGTCTGTATACAATGCAAAGTGTGATGTTAAGTGGGAGAAAATATAAAGATAGATCTGCAGATTAGCACTATGAGAGCACAACTCTGTCCTGCTAGCCACAATCAGAACGGGGTGGCATGTTCCTCCGTTTTCTTCAAAACACCTTAATACAGCTGCAATGTCAAGGTAGCCTGACTGCAGTATCAGTTCTTCTCTTTCCCTTTTATGTTCTTTGGCAGATATGCTAATGAGTCAGAAAGTATCCAAGAGCATCCAGCAGGCAAATAAATGAAAACTAAGGATTTAGAAAATTAGTTCAAATCACTCATTTCTATGTCCCGGTATATACTGCTTTTTTAAAGAAAGGCATACATTTTCCTTGTGACATAAATGTTAATTTCACAGATGCTTTACGCATTGATGCTTCAAAATTTGAGAAGGCTTTAAGAATCTCAAAAAAAAAACTACTGACATCCTCTCCGACCCTTTGAACACTGTATATGCATATATATATATATATATATATATATATATATATATATATATATACTGACACTGCTTAAGAAGGAATTACCAACCTCCTAACGGCCAAGCAGGGAGCCCCTTGAGAACATGGGCCCAGCTTATGAATTTCTTTTCAACTGCATTTTGTTCAGATTTCCAAAGGTCAGAGAAGGCAGTATTATAGCTGTAAGCCCCTTTAACATAGCTTCAGTGCCACTAACTTCAAAGTTGACAAATGCTTACATGTAGACAGTCTAGAAATTCTGAAAAAAACCCTTGTAAGATCAAATGCATCACTCTTCTTTTCAGCATGAGCATTTATAAGCATACTTATTTTGGTAAATTTTACCTACTTCATCATTCCATACCTCATGGAGACAGTTTTCTTTCCTAAATGAAGAGACATCAGTTTGGAGGGAGAGGAAAGTGGAAGGTCTCCACACTCCTGCGGGGTACAAGCTGGGGTCTCACAAGGTGGGGAGGTGTTAGTGGGAGGGTGACAGGAGTAGAGATGGGGCTAGTCAGTTGCACCTGCTGCTCAAGGAAGAACAACAAGGTATCTCAAAGGGACACTTAATGCCCAGCCAGTGGGGGGATGGAGATACTGCTCAGAATGGCCAAAAGAGGTGAATTTTTGTAATCCTTTTAAAATTAAAGAGTTATCAAGTTTATTCTTCTGTGAACAAAAGAACACACAATCTCTACTAGAGGACCCATAAATAACAACTGAGGAGAGGAAAGAGTGTGTGGAGACAGATAGCCTCTTGGAAACAATTCTGTGTTTATTCAAATAGAAGTGAGTTACAGAGAGAAAAATAGTAACTTGGGAGTGGGGGTAGGAGGAGGAGAGAATGGGAAATTTAAAAGAAGTTGCTTTCATTTGGACCTGCGTGGTATGTGCTGTGGTGTTCACACACATCTTCCCATGAACAACCGCAGTCTGTGGCTTCTGCAAAAACACTTGGGACAATGGAAATACCAAGCCACGCTTGTCCAATTACAAACCAAAGTGAGCATAAGTACATTACAACATTCTTCACATTCCAATTACAAACCAAAGTGAGCATAAGTACATTACAACATTCTTCACATTCTTCCACGTACTGACAAAATACATGAACCATTTGCACCTATTACAGACATGGTTATTTAAGTTCTTTACATGGTATAATCATTATGAAGAACACAAGGAGACAGCTTCACTTACATGGTTAATGAAGAGACTCTTGCGTTTTTCTCTCACTGTAAAGACAAAAGATGCAACAGAAATGTTACATGCCTGCGTGCCAACCCCTTGCATGTTGCTGAGGACTGGGCCTCTTGTGTCACAGTCCCATCCTTTACCAACCAACATACCTAGCTGCTCAATTCCTATATATAAGACAATGTGACCTGTACAAATGCAGATCTGAACTTGGCTAATAGAGCCAAACATATACCCACTGAAAGTATGGCACCCTAACCAAACAACTGCAGCTAGGATTAACTGAGTGGTGACAGCTTTCTAGTAACTAAACAATATATTAGTAAATTTTTCATAAAACCTATATGCATCCATTAATTTAAGATGATTAACCACTAATAAGACTATTTCTAACCCAACCAGACCCATAAGGGTCCCTAAAATTTGGGTGAAATATTTAACAAAAGTACCCATAACACAGAATTAAAACCAGAGAAAGATAATGTACATCAATGGTGCCCTTTATCACAGTAACCAATTACTCTCCACGCTGGGTGCTAATGAATCAAAACCAGGCTTCCGGCTAGGAGGCCTCCTGGAGTGTCCTTCAGTCTCTCTCCCTCAGTAAGGCTGGTAAAACTCACAATAAAAAACAGTGCCCTGGGGTGTCTGGATGGCTCAGTAGGTTAATACACATCGGACTTTGGCTCAGGTCACGATCTTCCAGTTCATGGGTTCAAGCCCTGTGTTGGGCTCTGTGCTGACAGCTCAGAGCTGCTTTGGATTTTGTGTCTCCCTCTCTCTCTCTGCCCCTTCCCCGCTCATACTCTGTCTCTGTCTCAAAAATAAATAAACATTAAAAAAAAAAAAAACCCAAAACACACTGCTCGTCTAAAAGATCATTTCTCCTACTGCTGTCTATGCAGTGTGGCCTACACTGAGCGGCTCAGCTTTCCCTACACTAGACGTCAGTTTCCCAAAGAAGGGGTCCTCAGCACCAAAGATGCAGAAGGGTGACAGGAAGCCCAGAGGATTATTAAAACAACTTGGTATCATTGAGTTTTGCCCCTTCTTTCCTGAACACTTACTTCTGAGGGTACATATTAGTCAGCTGACACCTTTATTGAGTAGGTCATTGTAGAGGACATGAAGAATGGGCCTCCTTCAAGGAGATGACATCCTTGGTCCCTGGGACTCAATAATGCTATCTCAGGGTAGCCTGAAACAATAGGAAACAAATTCACCTCATCTGAGGCGGCCTTTTTTCTTGGCAGGCCATAACCCAAATGCAGAGCCACTAGTTTTCAAAGTCCTTCAGCTGCTCTGACTGAGGGGCCTGTTTTCCTATGTTTACATTCTGTTTTCAATTCACAAGGAAACATTTCTCTTTTCCCAAGAAGTCCTAATATCTATGGAATGACTGCTGTCCCTCTTCCTATCCCAAAGATGTTTGAGACACAAAGCAAAAACCAGCCTGAGGATGCTGCTGGGAGAAGCTGCCTACAGCTGGCATTAGATGGATTCATCTGCAGGCCACTGGCATGCACTACACACAGAACGTGAGGCACCCTGGCTATGCTGGAGACCAGACCTGCACACAGGGAGCTCAGTCACATATACAACAGCAGCAGACTGTGTCTGCTATTCAGAGTGCCGAAGTTCCAAGATTTCTTTTGACCTAATCCCAAATAAGCATCATCCATATGTGGACCATAACAAAAGAAAAGTGAGGATCTAGCAGGAAGCACTAGGTTTGAACTTCCTGGCAAACATACTTTGTGTGCATGTGTGTGTGCACGTGTTCATGTCAATACTAAATTATTATGCATCTAGTTGGGGCTGCTCTACCACATGGGGGTAGAATGACATTTCTGTGGTGGTTTTCCATTGGCTGAAGGCATCTGGAAATGCTTTCTACACAGGCAGTAGACCAACTGGTGTTTCTAGCAAATTTCTTGGGTAATATTTAGCACTTCCTAGGACAACCCAAGAAAGAGGTTTTTGCAGAGCCTTTGTGTCTCCCATCATGGGAACTGCCTCCATGGTCACCTTAATGCCCTGTATCACCCAGCCTCCAGCAGATATAAGATATCCATGCTTCAAGGAATATCAGAGCTTCTTTATGGATGCCACTGGAAAAGTTAAGAATTAATCAAAAACAGGGGAGAATCTTCAATAGTATGGGCTAAAAGTTTTAACAAAGTTTATAACAAAAAACAAAACAACACTAAGCAAGTAGGAATACTGTAAAAGTATATACTCTTCTTGTACATCTTCTACAAAAATAAATCTCAAGGAAAAAATCAGGCCATTTCCGTGAAGCCCAAAGGGTTACAATTAGAACTGTAAAAACCAAACTTCACAGACAATTGTAAAACACCCAAGGATAAGGTATCCAAATCTATTACTGAATTATCTTAGGCCCTCACTGTTATTATACAAATAAATACCTACACATTATACTATTTCCCTCAGAGCAACTGGGCCTGCTGAAATCTGAGTTCACAGGGCTTGAATCATTATTGTGTATTTTGTATTATTTTGTGAGACACTGCTAAGAGCGCTTTGCAAAATCAAGTCTACATTGTATCTGAAAGGCTTTTCCACACGTGCATACCTATGACTGTCTTCTTCCTGATGGAGTGTTTCCTGAATCCCCAAACCAACGGTCAGTCCCTACACAAACAAAACTAACTTCCAGTATCCATGCTTGTACTCGGTGACCCTGGCCATAACTGCCTGGAACCAAGTAGAGAGCCATTCCTAGCTGAGCTAATTCTCTCTCCTGGGAATCTGGAGCTGCTAGCTCATCACTGGCAGCACCTTATTTGAAGGTATGGGGTGGGTGGGATGAAGTACATCTCCTGCTGTGCAGAAAGAGTTAACACAGAAGGTCTGAGTGCCATCTCTGAAACGGCTTGTTTGCAAGAGAGGCCCTAAGTTGGTTGGTATCTGGGAATATGAATTTGGGGAGAGTTCCCAGCATTCTATAACTGTTAAAAATGGCTCACTGCGCAAACAACACAGTTTATGCTGAACACCTGCTTTCCTCCTGGGAGTCTACAATTTTGGCACATACTAGGCAGAGGCTGCCTACTTAACCAGTCCTCAGTAAAAATCCTGGGCCTTGGGTCCTTAAGGAACTTCCTTGGCCAGCACGTGTCATGAGCTATCACTGGGGAATCCTAGTGTATCCTGCATGACTCTATTTGGAGAGAACTCTTGGAAGCCTGTTGCTGGTTTCCTCTGGACTTTGCCCATGCACCTTTTCTTTGTATCGAGTTTGCTTTGTATATGTTCTTTGTAATAAGCCATAGCCTTGAGTATGACTATATTTTGAGGGCTACAACTCCTCTGAGTAAACAAAACTGGGGGCAGGGAGTTAGTCTTGATCTCCAACACAGCTGCCATGCAGAGATGAATGGAGGGCAAGCGGGTGATGAGGGGAAGGTAGGTACCTCCTTAGTTCCTAATGGCTTTTAGTCCTTACTTCCAATGACTTGTAAGGTTTCTCTGATACCCTGGTGCCCTCACAATTAATTATTCCTTTTCCCCTAAGTTAGCAGGGGCAGGACTAAGATACTACCATAGGAGAAAAAAATACTCAAAATAAGTGGAATCTCTTACAATGGTATTACTCAAAAAGATGAATTATATTACCTAAATCTAAATCTGTCTTTAAAACAAATTTGAAACCACTGAGGCCATTACTCAGCTCTGAAATTCAAATGGCTTTTAGACATTTTGTTTTGTGTAATGGTATAAGCAATATGCCGATTCATTTCTGACATTAGCTTTAATCATCTTTAAACCTGAATATTCTTGGTTACTAATAGCCTATCAGTCAAAATCTCTGGAGTCCTCAGAGTTCCTACATAATTGAAAAACTAATAGTCATATTTTGCTTTGCTGGAAAAATAGGTAAATAAAGTGGTGTGGATCAGAAGTCTCACTTTCCTGGGAAAGAAATAATAGCTATCTCCTTTGATCCCATCCATGATGATTTAAGAGAATTTTTAAGTAGCTATTAAAAATAGTCCATAATGACTTAAGTAGAAAATGTATTTGAGGCTTTAAAAATAAGCCATCTAAAATCAGCAGACACTACAGTTAGCATTGAAAGTCTACTCCAGATAAAATGAGGAGAAAATGGCAGAGTCTGCAATCTGAGAGAGCCAAAACTTCACTTGGGTTACTACATGACATTCCCTTGTCACAACGTCACAGAAGCAAAATTTCTTTACTTTTAAAACTACAACCTTCTTAAAAAAAAAAGAAAAAAAGCCTAGTGCCTAATTGCTGAAGATTTAACAATATAAATGCAAATTTTGCTGATCTCTTTTCTAGACAGGCATTTAAAAAATTATCTTGGTTTTCCTTGTTCCATCTCTAAAATAGATCTTCCAATGGCAAGTGGACACAAAATGTAAGGACTCCGTTAAGTCCTAAAATAGGTAATCCAACCTCCTTCCTTTGACAATGAGGAAGCTGTCCACGCAGGCCCAGACAAGGAGTGTCTAGAAGCGGGAAGACAGGGGGTGGCTTGCTGGGTTCCCCAGGCTCCTTTCTCTGCCCTCCCCTCCCTCCCAGGGCAGTTTCACTGCTGCCTGGAACCTGGATGAAATGAGTTCCATTTGACAACAGATAATTAGTATCTGATATGAACAGAACTGAATTATTCCACAAAGAAAAGTTATTTAGCTTATTAATTACTCTGAATGTAAGGGACTGGCAGGCCACACAGGTGGGAGGCCTTGATGATAATGTAGAGAATTACAGAATTTTGTTTTGAGATGTAAGAATGATTGCTGGGATAGCAGAGCCAATTGGGACCACAAAAATCTGGTTCAAAAGAAAAGGATTTTTTCCTTTCTTTTTTCCTGTGGGTAAGCATAGTTCAGGCTTTAAACAATTAAGTTTATATTAATTTTTCCTACAATAAGTTTGAGACTACCACACAATTTCCACAGTTTTCAATAATTCAGTGAATTCAATCATTCACTTAATTCAAAACACAACCACTGAGGCCCAGTAAGGAGCACAGCTCGAAGGCAAATGC